GACACTGCTGTCGTGGCTGAGACATGGGAGAGGAGCATGTCCCACCTGGGCAGCTCCTCCTTGGTGCAAACACCGAGCTTCAGGTTTCAGCACGTACCAGCTGGCAGTGCCAAAATCAGCTGGAGGTCCATGTGGGATCTCCATCTTCTTTCATGGTCACTGCCACCATTTCTTCTTGTAATAATCACATTTTAATCAGAGTCCCACCTGTTCCAGTGAGGGAGAGTAGGTGTAGACTAGATATGTGGAATTTGGGATTTATTCCTGTGAGGGTGGTGAGGCAGGCTGCCCAGGAGAGTTGTGGGTACCCTGTCTCTGGAAGTGCTTAAGGCCAGGGAGGCTTGGATGGGACTCTGGACAGTCTGGTCTGCTGGAAGGTGTTCCTGCCCAGAGGAGCTGGAGCACGGTGATCTCAGAGGTCCCTCCAGGCCAAACCAGCCTGTGATTGATGCTGTGCCCGTTCCCTTGCTGTCCCTGGGTCACTCCCTGCTCTGGGCTCCTGCACCTGGCTGGAGGGGAGGAAACGGGAGAGCCAGAGCCCCCGTTTCCCTGCTGGGACACACCTTCCCTGGCACTGACGTGTTCTGTGCCCGAGCTGCCGTGTCCCACAGCTCTGTGGGTGGCATCACCAGCCCAAACGTGACCTGCGGACAATGGAGAAGGAGCCACTGCCACCCTGCAGCTCCTGGCAGCTGCAGAGGCACTGGCACTCTCAGGGTTCAGCTGGCTCCTTAGGGAATTCCCTACAGCCTCGCCCTCCTCATCATGGTGCTGCCTGCTCCAACGGGACAGCAAAACCACAGCATCTTTCCAGTTCAAAAGGCTTATTTAAAAGATAAATTATTCTCATTTATGTCCTCAGCGTTTTCAATGATTTTTGTATCTTCAGCATTAAAGCAGAGGCTGATACTGTAGTTTTTCCTGTTTTTCCAGTAAGAACCTGGTTTCTGATTAAAGTCTTTGGCAGTGAGTGGGCAAAAAATTAGTGCATTGACAACCTAACAATGAAATCCAAGTGATTTAGAGTAGCATTATCTGAAATTATTTTTGTTAGTATGTGTAATGTTCTTTTAACTGATGACAATGATTTATTTCTGCTTAGATGGATGATGAAACTAATCAGTGCATTGCTTGAGAGATGCTTTGTTAAATTACTCCCATATTCAATTGGGAGTCTTTAATCCATTACTCTGTGTGCTTATTTGTCATTGAATTTGCAGGGGGATGTGCAGGTTCTTCTTTTGTGTACGTGAGTATGAGCTAGAATGCCTTCACTGATTGCCAGTAGAGTTTCATTGTTTAAAAAGGGGAAAATGAGACAGAGGGGCCTTCCTGGCTCTGGTTTTGTTGGCAGACACCTTTTTAAAAAATTCCTCGTGCAATTCATTTAATAAAGTGCTTGACCTATGTTCACAAGGGAACTCCTCCTGCTTGTTTCTAATATGCAAGGGGTTACTATTTAAAAGTATTTGTAAATTCTATGGTAATTATTGTTTAATAATGGGGATAAGTTTATGGGTTTCTGGTGCATTTTCTCTATCATACTAAATAAACTAAGGCTGTTTTTTTCCAGTCCACCCACTAGACTGTGGCCATTCATAAAAATTTTATGAATGAAGAAAAGAACATGTGTTGACAATGAAAATAACAGTTTCAGGAAGCTAATATTAGTGGAGATGCTTTTGTTACAACTCTGCTGCCTAAAGCCTGCATTTGTTAGGCTGGCTTAGAATTCTGAGGAGGAAAACAGCTGAGGTTTTTGTGATCATTTAGCATAAATGGCAGCTGCATCCCTTTATTGTGAGAATTTACACACTGCCACCTATGAACTGATAATTTGCCTAGCAAAGTGTTGTGATGTGGAAGGTAAAGAAGGAAAACATTAGAAGGTTTTGTGGAGAGAGGAAAAAAAGCCATATGTTTCATAGTTGCTTATGGGCAGCACTTAAGTCTAGGACTTGTATCAGTTTTGTGTGAGCAGAGAGTTTTGTGTTTGTTTGGCCAAAGGGCTCCTGGAATGTCTCTGCAGTCTCAGCAATAACACAGATCTGTGAGCTGAATGTCTGAAGCAAAGACAGATACCAAATGCAGGCTTCTCCCTGATCATCCTAAGGAATTGCTGTTCTCTGAGCCCAGAGCACCTGAAATGCCACCAGGGGCAGAGGCAGCTGAGCCTTTGGGCTTTGCACCCCTGCATGCTGGTAATGGCACTGGAGCCGTGCCTTTGCTTAATGCCTGGAGCAAGATTAAAGGGTGGGCTTGTGGAAAAGAGGCCGCTGATCATTTTAAAGGGGGGTGTGGGGGCTCCGATGTCTGTGCCATGTCCCAGATCTTCAGCTCTGTGCTGGGGGAGGCACAGGTGTCTGTGGGCATGGTGGCTTTCACCAGAGCTGTGTCCAGCCTGCTTTTCCTCCCTGTGCATACAGCAAGTGGATCTTCACAGGTTAGGCAGAGGGACACCCACCATGAGGATACAATCTGCCCTTTGTGCTTTCCTTTGGCTCCTTCACATCACCCTGTCAGCCCTGAGCTGCTTCTTTTGCCTCAGACTCGCTGAAGTGATGCCTAGTCCAAGATGTGATCCAAGATGTGATCCAAACTTGGGAATTATTTTGTTGTTAATCAGTAGCTATACCTTTGGCAGGTGTGATTGAGTAGTTGCATTGTGAAACTTGTGGAAATTTATAGGCTTGGCCAATCCTTTGTTTTAAGGGAAAGGGAGTGCTATTCTGAAATGAATAGGCTGCTTGGACAAGAGCCACTAGGAGTGAAGTCAACTGGACTAAGCAGCAGTAAATGAGGGGAAGAAGAATTAGAATGATAAGCAAGAGATATAGATAGTAAATTAGGGTTTGGTTAATGAAAAATGAGTGTAATCTGGAACCAATGTGTGTCGATGCCGTTGTTTGTTAAAATATAGAAATTGTGCCTATTTACACAAAGTTTGGGTTCCCACCAAGCTCCCTACTTTGCACAAACTAAAATAAAAAATAGAACTACCTCACCTTGGTGTGGGAATTTTCTGTACACACCAGGTAGCAAAGCTGTGCTCAGGATAAAAAAAAGAGGACAAGAGTTTCAAAACTTCACCAGCTTCTGGAAACCAAAGTGTGTATGCAAATGAGAACTGGTATTATCATCTCTGAGCAGAACAGGAAATAAGCCTCCCTTGAAGGACAGCAAGTCACCTCAAGCACTATTAAAGGCTGTTAGCAACTCACCGAATTTGGAAGCATTTAACAACTGCTAAATGTCTGTTTGGGGGGTCTAAAGGCACAGAATTTTTGTGCCAGCGCCCACTACCCTTAAAAGCAAGAGTTAATGTCTGCTGCCTTTGTGGTTTGGCACAGCCTTTGTGTAACCAGCTGTCTTGAAGGGAGCTTTGATGTATCCTTAGGAAAGGTACTGTTATTTATAGCACACATCTAGTCTGCATTTCCTCTGCTTCCCACCCCCGTGCCTTTACAGAGAATGTGAGCTCTCATTTGATCAGGGTCATCTCAGAGATGAGATGTCTTTGAATCTCAAGATATGCTTCAGTAACTGTTAAGTTAAAAAATCTTCTTGAGAAGGCAGATGCAGGACAAGAAAGCAGCTGCATATCCAGTATTTCTGTGCTGTGCTATCATGACTGGCTCTCAGGACACTAAAATTTACTTTTCTGCTTAAGCATATCTTAAGCCAGAGTTAGTTTTTTCAGTAAAAAGCAAGTTGTTACTTTATGCAAGCTGAACAGAGTCTAGTTTGCAGAGAAAGGTAGACGAAGCAAGTAAATCTAGGAAGAAGAGAGATAAGGCAGCAGGAATAAGTTGTAACCAATGCAGAGTGTGTGCTGTAATCCTGGCCCTGCTTTCTGGACCGTGTTTGCTCTGTGTGTCAGTGCCTGGTGAAGCTATGAGCACTGGCAGATGCTGCTCTGTCCAAGCCAGTGAGGCCATCCAGAGACAGCTGCTCTGTGCTGCTGCAGCCTCGCTCTCTGAGGCCTGTGCACGAACTCCTGTCCCTGCTGCACAGTCAGGCTTTGGCAGGTCTGATAAATAAAAACCCCTGCACAATTGTTTTTGCTTGAGGAGAAGATTAACTCTTGTATTGTCGACAAATCACAATCTGTAACTAAATCACACTGCTTTAAATTCACCTGTCTCTTCACCACCTTTTTTTATGTGCTGGGCTGCTCTGAATGCTGTGTGCTGCTTACATGGCTGCCCCAAGCTCACAGGAGGCTTCTGGCAGACAGGAACATGTCCCATCCATAGTCTGAGATCCTCTGGAATGAGGACGATGCACATCTAATATCTTACTGTGTTTGGTGCACGGGATCCCATGACCATTTGACTTTGCACTGTCATGCCCTGTTCAGCAGCTACAAGAGCTCCTCAGCTAAAATGGTCCCATTCTAATTTTAATTTATGCTGATACTAATTTGTAATGTGTCTGGGCAACTGGCTGTTTGAGGAGCTGCTGTCAAGCTCCAAATATCTTTGCCTAAGGCTCTGGATTGACCTGTCCCAGCAACACAGCCATGGAGAGAGCCAGGGTGACCAGATTCCCAGTACACTTCTGTTATCACAGCATTCCCTGTTCCTTCCTTCCTTTCTTCCTCAGAGTTGTCTTTTGTGTATCAGCTCAGGAGGATCACTCTCATGGGCTGTCTGTCATGTTTTCCTGGTTGCCTTGTTTCCCCTGTGTCCTTGCAGCTTGCCTGGAAGGTTTGTGAGCTGCCTGATTTTGGCCAGCTCTGCCTCAGGACCAGGCAGTTTTGGTTTTGCAGAAAATCATCTTCTGTATCAGGTTTGTTGCATCCTGGTTTGGGGAGTGGGGACCAGACTGGTTCTACATGTACTTACCAGCTCATTTCTGTGCTTTTTCTTCCCTTCACTCCTAATTCTCCCTTTTTCTTTCTGTCACGTTGAGCCCTAACACCTCCCTGGGCTCTCAGGTGTGGCTGCTACAAAGATGTTTTTCTCCTGTGTAAAACTGGTCCTGTTTTGTGTTGCTAGGCTACTCCCTTCCAGCTGCCACTGAAGAAGTGCTCCGTGGTGGGCAACGGCGGGATCCTGAAGAAGAGCGGCTGCGGCAAACAAATAGATCAAGCAGATTTTGTCATGCGGTAAGACAGACACCTCCATGGCACGTTATCCCCCCTTCCACTGCTCAGCCTCAGCCTTGCCAGAGCTGCGCCCTTGGCACTAACCCCTGGTCACTTGCCTTGGTGCCCTGCCTTTGCAGGATGCTTCACACAAGCAATTCGGGTCAAAGTGTGAGGAGAGGCAAAAAAGGAGTTTGGGCTTGGTTCTGCAGGGGGATGTGGGGTGAGGGGACAGGGTGCTCCTCAGTGACGTTGTGAGGGCTTGTGCAGGGTCCCAGGGAGGTGCTGAGGAGCTGCTCTGCTCATCATTTATGCACTGGTGGCCAGGCTGCTTCATCCTGCTCTCTGCTCTGAAACTAAATGCCATCTGTGCAACCCAGGGAACTCAGAATGAGTAGGGGCTGGTTTAGGGGGCAGGGCTGGAGCTGCTGCAAGCCAAAATCTTCCTTTGTTTTCCTTCCCTCAAGACTGAACTGTGGCTGTCTGAGGAAAGGCCAAAGTTCTTCCCTTGAGGTTTTTGTGATTCTTCACATTTCCTTTCCCTCCAGCCTTCCTCAATTTACAAGAATCTGTCAGGAGGGATGTTGAACCAGCTCCTGCTTTTGTGATTAAATTTGGCACTTTCTAGGTCTGTGATCCTTAAGGAAGAAAGACAGACATTAGTTCCTCCCTGATAAACATGAACAAGAGAAATGTTGTGGGGGAGAAACTGGAGGAATGCTCCAAAAGAGATGAGAACTGGAGTTTCTTTGGGTTTCTGATGGATGCATAATGAGCATCCACTAGAACAAGTCTCCTTATTACATCCTGATGGCTTATTATAAAACTATACAAATTTGCTCTAAACCATTCCTGTAATTTCTGGTTTGCAAAGACCAAAAATGTCTTCATTAATAAATGCCTGTTAATGCAAAGAAACAGAACAAATTCAAGGCAAACATACACTTGGAGCACTTAGGGAAGAGAAGATGTAAAGCACAGGGGGAGAGCAGCACTCTGAGTGCCATTACTGCAGAACTCCTGAGGTGTTCCATGGACTAAATACCAGAGACTGCAGTGTGTATGCAGTTTCTTGCATTCTGTGTTTTCTAGAAATTAAAATGCTATAGGACCAACCAGTTACAGAAACAACAGAAGTTTTTTTTAAAAAAAAAGCCAACAAAACAGCAGCTATTTTAGCTTGATCATAAAACCCTCCTTCTCTGCAGGGAGGATAAAGCAACCATTATATGTTTTGATTTAGAAATAAGTGATGGGGAGAATCCTGCTAGAATCCCATTTGCTGCCTGCAGGCTCTGCTGTATGAGTGATATGAAATCATTTTTATGGAAAATTTACTTGATCTTTTCTAAATCTCATTTCTATAATCTGAGAACTGAGAGAGAAAGAGCACAATAGTGACTTCCATAACACTTTTCATTTTTTAAAAGAAATTTGTGCGATGTCTTCAAAGCGTTTCTGCAGTGTGAAATGTCCTGCTAGGTTTTGCCCTTGTTTGTTAATTCATTTTATGTGAATTTTTATTTCACTTATGTATATTTCCATAAGCTTTGGCCTGTGAGAGAAGATGGCTGCACTCATATGTTGTAATTGCTAAGGTTATTTAATGAGTTTAGACTCATCTGGTCGCTGAGCATCTTCTACCAACACAGTTGTTCTAACACAGGGATGAAAAGAGCAGCAGTTTCCAGCCCCTCAGGCATAGCAAGCTGCCTATGCAATGAGAGAGGTGCATGTGGTCTCCATGTTTAGGTACTGTGGTTGTAATGGGCTCTTCTTCTGATTTTCAAGTTTCTATTTCTTATTTCTAAGAAAAAAACAGTTTTCCCCCACTCCCTACCTGCTAATGCTTGTTTTGAGAGAAAAGTGTTGGTTAGTAGTCCTAAGCCATGTCTTTAACTCTATTTTTTGTGTACTTACTTCTCAGTAAGTTTATTTCTCTTACTTTTCAGTACCAGATAGAACAGTAAGAGAAATAAAAATAAAATTTCTTAGTATGAGTTTTGTGCTTCAGTGTGTTCCTCACCTGCAGAACACTCAGCACTCTGCTGACCAACCCAAGAAAATAATTGGGAAGGTCAGGTAACAGATTTCCTGCAGTTTCCTGTGGATACTCAGCCCATTGCCTAATGTTTCCTGCACTGTAAGGGGGGAATCAGACTTACAGATGAAGTGTTGGAATAATACTTCTGTGACTGGCTTATGAAAGAACTGTCATGATCTAGATGCTGAGATGATAAAAGCTGGGGTGAGCTCTTAGTCCTCCATAGTGCTTTTAAATTGAACCAAAAATGGTTTTTAAAAGCGTGCCCTATGAGCTTGTGTTTATTCAAAGCAAGGAGCATTAAATTGTGATCTGCCAGAGGTATTGTGCCACCTCTCTACCCTAGGCAAATCAGCTATAAATCTTCCTTCACAAATATTTGTTTGACTTTTATTTTACTTTTTCTTGTTAAGATTTTATAGTTTATGTTTGAGAATTAAAACTTCCCTTAGCTTCTGGCCTTTCCCTTTCCCATTCCCCTTCTCATCAATGACTGCAGTTTCTGAAGCCTCTTATTTTGATTGCTTTTTCTGTCTTCTTTTGAATTTCTCTACCTTCTCTTATTTTGTGGTACAGTGAACTAGAAGCTGTTTCCTGGCTGAAATCTCAATACATTGTGCACATCTTAACAAGTTGTATATATTTTCATGACTGTAACAAGTCTTACAGGCATGAAAATGAGAACATGTTCCTGGAAATTCTGTGTTTCTCGGTGAATGTGATTTAATTCATTATGTTTCATGTAGTTAGAACATGGCTGTCCCTTTCCTTGGCATTGCTTGATGATGAGAATTGAAGGGTTTGAGAGCTGGTATTTACATGCAGAGAGAGGCCGATAGAGCACCACTGTGGTTTTGGTTGGGGTTGTTTTGTTGTTGGTTGCCTGGTTTTGGGCTGGTTTATTGGGTTTTTTCTGACTTAACAAAAACTGCAGAGAGAAAACCCCAACAACACCTAAAACACCTAAAAGCATTTCTCTGGAAAAAAATCCAAATTCTGCTTGTCTTTGAGAATCATGATTTCATTTTTGCCTTTTAAGCATTCCAAATACTCTTTATGTCTTTGTTTTAAAGCAGAAATCTGAAATTAACAATGTTTGGAAACCAATTTTTAGTGCAATTTTTATGTATTGAGTAGATTTCTCCTGACTAATTTTTGGGGCAGTGCACAGGCTTGGACACTGTTTGAATGTATCTTCATTTTTATCTCCTGCACCTTCCTCCTTCTCCTAGGTCTTTACAAAGGAGTTCTTAGGACTATTCACTGTGTGGATGTTTCCCTCTACTTCTGGTTTATTGAGTCTTGATTCTCTGCCTCCCAAAGTAAATTTGCTCAATTGCTTTGGCTTTATTCCATCATCACCCTGCCCACCAGAACAAGATTGTGAGCAGAGCTGAGATACACGTGTCTAAAAAACCAGCTGATTTTTTAATTCTGTGTTTTCTCAGTAAATTCTATAAGATGATGGTACCCCAGAGTGCAATATTAAAAATGCCAGTTTTAGATAATGCCTGCAATACCACAGAGTGGTAATATCAATCTGAAGCCTGATACTGGTAAACAAGACAAAACAGTGTGAAAAACCAGAACTTTTAAGGAGTTGGGATTTTTAAAAAAAGTTCTTCTATAGGTAGTAACAGGCTCTTCCACAGCCTTTCAGCCTCTCAGAAATGTCAAGTGCATGCATGTTTTCCTCAGCAGCTACACAGATTTCATCTCTGCAAAAGGTTTTATGTCTGTATTTCCTCACAATCTGGTACAAAAATGCTTCTAGGTGTGGTACAGTAGGGAGTAATTATAGCTTGGTCCAGTAATTCATTGTTTTTGCATTTTCTGAAGCCTATCAGTTCTGAATGTCATCTAAAATCTTGGCTGTCTTTGTGTGCAGGTGCAACCTTCCTCCTCTATCCAGTGAATACAGCAAGGATGTTGGATCCAAAACCCAACTGGTGACTGCAAACCCCAGTATAATTCAAAAAAGGTAGAGAGCAGATTTTTCCTTTTCTGGTTGGGGTAGGCAAAAAGAAAAATGCTTCGTCAGTGTTATAGAAACTAGTGCATCAGAGTTGTGTTCCTAATAATGTGATCCTGGAAGGGGATATGGGAAAGGTGCAGCAGGCAATGGTTTGGTGTCAGGGGAGATAATGAAAGCTGAACCCCTCAGAGGCTTTCAGTGTCAGCAGGGAGCTAAGGCAGGGCTGTGGTGGTGGGTGCCCCACACTGCTCTGCTGGCCAGGCCAGCTCCTGCTGCATCCCACAGTCCATGAGATGCTGGTTTGGGTTGCTCTTGGCTCCAGCACAGATCACCTCTGAGTCTCACTGCCCTTGCATCATTTGTTTGATACTGACTTACAGAAGGGGTAAGGATGGAACTGCTTGGCAGGGTGTGATCATACAAGCTTTGCTTTCTTAGGAAACTGGGACAAATTTGTGTTGTTTATTAGAGTTGGTTGAAATTTTCCAAATGTCAAGCGCTGATGAGAGTGGGGAAGAGCGAGTGGGGAAAAAAATGTCAGTGCTATCTCTCTGATTTTGTCTTCCTGAATTTTAATTGCCATGTTCTTTGTTTATCCTCTGGAATGAGGTAGGTTGTTCTCAGGCAGAACAAGATCTGGTAGTAACCTGCCATGTTCACTGAAAAACACAAGAGAGAAAATATGAGCCAAGGGGATGAGCAGGAAATGATTAAGCACAAAGAAATGTATAATGTGAGTACTGGCAGGTGAAGGATTGTGAAAGGAAGCAAAGCAGGGCAATTAAATGCATGGTAGAAAGCCAGGTGTTTTAAAAAGAAAGGCACTGGCTTGGAAATGGATGTTTGATGGTATTTGAATGTAATATTTTTCCTGTCTTTCAGGCATTGGAGGGGTCTGTAGTTGAGTGTGTGGAAGAGATGACAGTCTTTGACAGAGTAGAACACAGAGGACAAGCAAGAGGGAGATGGAATAATAATAATAACAATGAGCTTCAAGAGCTGATTGCAGGCAGAGAGTGCTTGAGTAGGGGAAGGCACAGAAATGCTTGTGGGATGAGATCAAAAAACCAAGCAGAACTGGCAGGGGATGGCACCAGGTGCCAGGCAAAACCAGGGAGTTACCCAGGGCAGTGGAGCTGAAGACAGGGAATCTGAAAGTGCTGGGGTATGTAGATGGCTAAGTGATTGCAGAAGTGGAATGAAATGGCCAGAACATCCCATCAAGGAAAGATCAGTTTGGCCATGGCATTTGGGATGAAATGAAGAGGAGCAGGGTGAAACACAGCCTTTCAGAGGGCTTTGCAGTTTGCAGGACAGGATTATTTAACTCAGGCGTGTTTGTTTGACACCCTCCCCTCTATCTAGGTCTGGAGTAGGAAGCTGCCTGTAGTTACTATTTTTGAACAGAAAAGGGAAGAGTGTTAGTGATGCTTGGAGGAGACTGTGGAGCCACACTGGAGAGACCACAGAGTGCTCCAGCAAGGGGGAAGGATGGAATGAGGAGAGGGTTGAGGAAGCAGATGGAGAGAGTGAGATGCTGCTTTGTGAGGGGTGGATAGCTCAAGGAGGAGTGGAGGGGGGTGGGAAATGGGAAAAAAGAGAGCAAGGAAACAAGATTGTGATTAATGTCAGTTTTCAAAGTGAGTGGACAGTTACTGTGATGCAAGACCCTGGATGAGAGAGCATTGTGGAATGTATGTGCACGTGCATTGATTAGGGGGAGATATACACCCAGTAACTGAGAATAACACAGAGAACAAATTCAGAGCACTGAAAATTGGCAGGAGCCTCCTTTGAGGCTTTTCTTCCTCTGCCTGGTCAGGAAGAAACATTTTAATTTTTTTAAAATAATTGACTCATGTTTCCTGTGTGCTGCCCAAAGTAATTATTTTATCTCCTGTGTGTTAAGTTAGAGTGGGGAAAGAAAAGTTATATCTTGAAAGTTAAAATGGAAAAAAAAAACCTACAACTCTGTCATCACTCCTATGGAAAGAAGCTTTTTTAGGAGTTAAGGTTACTTATACTTTTGATGAAATTCAAAGACATTCATATTTGTGACTGATGAATCTGTTTCTAAGCTGAGTGTTATCTCTAGTGTCACATAAGGGGATTATTCATTGCCATTCTTCCCCTCTCCTCTTGTCCTTACTTGAAGTATGTTGATATTGATGAGGCCTGACATCTCCATTATCTCTCAAGTGTCTTAGGGCAGGTTTAGTGAATTGGCCCTGCAGCACCATTCATGGCTTCTAAAGGATTTACCCTTACCAGATAATTTATGGTGATGCATGTTGAGTGGGGCAAAGTTTTCATACCAGGGATGTGGAAGCAATTTTCTGTGAGGTTCTAAAACCAGAATTAGTGCCTTTAAAAAATAATTGTTGGCAGCAGTTATTGCAGAGATGGCACCATTTCCCTATTGATTTAGCACCTTAGGATGGAAGAGTCACAATTTTAATTTAGGAGTACCTAACTTTAAAATAAAGTAACTTCTAAACATTGCTTTTTGCAAAACTTAGAGATGAAGTTCCGTGTCTGTTTTCAGCAGGAAATGAGACCCTGCAGGTGTTGTAGGCACAGAGTGTGTGGTGATTGGGCTGGGGCTGTGCCCAATCATTCCCAATTGACTCCAGCTGTGCAGCACAGGTGAGCAGCATTGAAGGGAACGAGCCATGGAGGGCACAGGGCACACAGGGGCACTGCAGCAGCAGCAGCAGGAGGGCACAAGAGGCTGGGCTGAGGGACAGAACAGAGCTGCTGCCTGGGGCCTTCGGGGTGTTGGTTGTGGCTCCACCGTCCTTCTGAAAGGTAGTACAGTTTCCACTTGTGAAATATTCTGCTCTATTCTCATTTGGGTTTGAGTGTCCTACCCTAACTTCAGTTAGTGTAATACAGGAGAACTGACAACAGATGTACTGTGGCAGAAATTTTCCAGTGTAAGAGGATGCGTGTTCACTGTCCCAGTTTCTTTTTTTGTCTAAAATTTTTCAGTTTTCAGATGTCTCTCTTCAGTTAATACTGGAACTCACAGTCCTTCCCTCCTGTGTGAAACACCTTTTCCCACTTTGCATTCAAAGCATAACCTTTCTGTCAAAGCCTGTGTTAGGGTTGCAGTTGGGACTGAAATGTTGCATAAGGGTGCTCCTGGGGCCGAGGTGACCTCTCCCACCCTCTAGCCCTGAGTGTTGCTGTGGGACTGCAATCCCACATCTTTGATGTTTCTAGTTCATTCCCCTACCATCCTACTCAGCTTGTAGGCAGAGGATTATTTTGTATATTATTTATTTTCTTTCCAAGTCTAGCTGCTCTAAGTCCCTCCTAAGAAAGAGGCAGTGCAGTAGCAGTAGCTGTGATGTGCCTACAGCCATTCTTAAGACTCTGGGAAAATTGGCAAGGTTATGTCACTTACAGAGGTTGTTTCCATATTCTGAACCCTTGTCTACACCTGTGGAGAGGGATGAGTCAGTGAACATAAAATGTTCAAGAGGCAGTGCTGATTTTTGATCAATGGCATAAGAATTTTAACTAGGAAACACAAAGAGTTCGAGGATGTGGATTGTTATCTGTTTCTAAAGTCACTGGATCTGGGCTGTTTAGGAGAAGCCAATTTTATGAATTTATCTTCAACAGCTCTTGCAAATGTCATACAATAATAATTTCTCTGAGCTCCTAATTAAATCTGCAGTCAGATGCTGTTTGCAGCAGTGTTCCTTTCTAGTGCCATGTCTGCTTGTCTGCCTAACCTATGCACACTTATATCATCAATAACAGGGATATAGTACTCCAAACAGATGTTTCCCAGCATTCAGAGAGTTTCAGACCAGCTGATGATTTTTAGGGAATATTTTATCCATGAGCTGTGTGTCCATGGCCTGTGTGGAAGTTTGAACTTCCACCACTGAATGGGAGTGCTTTCCTTTCAGTAAATTAATTCACCTTTTTGATCTCTGTGATATTTGACAAGTTTTTGCTGCATCCAGTGTCTTGCACTAAACCATGATGAAGGAATGAGACTAAAGACTAACAAATGCAATGATTCTGCCTCTCAGCTTGGAAATGCCAGTTAAATATCACTGCTGTTTATTAGGTTCCCATGGAGTTTGAGTGGGCTTAAATTTGCTTTCCAGTGTCCCCTGCATTTTAGAGGCAGCTAATAATCTTTCCTGGATTCAGTCCTGAAGACATCTCTGAATCCAACTGACTTAGACTATTAGGAATAAAAAGCTGGAATTGAAGCAATAATTTACTTTGATAAAAGCTTCCTTCATCTTTGATCAAACAAATGTACAGTACTATGCCTGTTGCTTACAGTCATGAAAATGTTTCATGAAAGTTCCTCTTCAGTGTGCCTCCATGTAAAAATGCCATATTCTGTTCCTAGGTAGTTACATTATTTTTTGGTAATTGCAAAAGATCAGAAGAAGAAAGGTAGAAACCACCCATAAAATATGTTCTTGAAGGAAAACCCTTTGTGCTTATCTTGTCCTTTCTATACAAGTCAAGTGATGGGAAGATATTTCTCTGTCAAGTCAATTAGTCACCAGATTTTAAACACTTCATAGAGAGGTCCTTTTTTCATTCCTGGTACCTAAATTTATCTCAGATGGTTGAATTGATGAGAAGTCCAAAGTCATCTACAAGAGTCTCTGAACACCTGTGCCAACAGCAAGGGGATAATATTTCTGGGAAGTACTGCTTAGGAGGCAAGACTGATAAACTTCTGGACATGGAGGTTGCTTGAAGCCCTATTTGGTGGTAATCAGTTTTTTCCCTCCTCTAATACAAAGTTTCTTTAAAAATCTTTACACTTCTAAATTTTGCCTTATTTTCTCTTTGTGTGGAGCATCTATTTTTGTCCTTGTTTGAACAGAAAAAGAAGCAAAGCTCTGGGGATGGAGGGGACTGGCTCACCAGGCCAAAGGCAGAGCCAGGAAAGAAAAATCCCAGAATTTCTGGTTTGTTTTTGTCTTTCTTAGCTGATGAGCAGAAATACCTGGAGTTGGAAA